TCTTAACCTAGCGTCTTAACCTAGGTTCAATTACCCTCTCCCATAATTTTAAAGTATGACACATCAACTTAATTCCTCTATAATTTGCACACTCTTGTGCATCCCCAAAAATGGGGACCAAAATACACAAAATACACTTCCTCCACTCCTAAGGCATCTTTTTAGTTTTTAAAATAATATTAAAGAGTTTAGTAAGCTAAGAAACTCTCAAATCTCCTAAATATTTCCACACTTCAATTGGGATATCATCATACAAGCTCTTTTTTTATAAACTCAAAAATCAAAACTTGGTACACACTACAACTAGCGAGGGAGAAGATAATGTCATTTTTTTAAAAAGGGAGACACGTCTATAACATTTCTAGAAGGCATTTTGCATCACCAACAAAATAGAGGAGAGAAACTTACAATGAAGTTGCATTACGAGAAGAATCATTCCAGAGCATGACAAAGCTTGGCAGTGAGAAAAGCAAGGGAGCAATGACACGGTAGTGTGAAAGTGAGTGCCACGAGGTGGTGAGTACCATGAGAGACATCTTTCAGATTGAGGAAATCCTCCATACGAGAAAGTTTCCGAGACATTTCAGATTATTAGAAATGGCTTAAGCTTAACTTTTCTTTCACCAATACTATTTGTTTGTGTTAGATCATCAATTTATGGCCTTATGGGGTTACTGTGAGGGGCCTTTTAAAGATCCTGATTTATGTTTCCTTGAAGTAACATCTGCAGGAATGCTCCTCTATAAATTTCAAAATGGCCATAGGTTTGTCCATGAATCAATAAATTGAGCCGTAACCTTTCATTTTTATCCGGAAAATTTTCGTACTACCGCTCAATTCTTATGTATTCACATACCTAACACTTAAACTTTGATTTTTACATGTATGCCACTTTACCTTTGCATGAAAGATGTACTTGACTTTTTTGAAAGTTAAAATAGGGATATTTTTTATGTAATATGAAAGATTTGTGTGATATAAATGTAAAAACTAAAGTTTAGAAGTTAGAGATCTAAATACCTAGGAATTTGGTGTTATGTATACAAATGCCCTTTTTTATTTTACTTTTTTTTGAGGGGAATGAAGGAGCTAGATACTCATTCTACTCCATATCCAAGTAAATTTCTGGAGCACAAGGAAATGAGCCGGTTTTGCCTCAATGTCTGCTTACAGCAGTCTATAAGGCTTCTCATCTGCACTTCGTCTTCTTAATGAGTTTTTTGAGCTACTTATTTCTATCACCATCACTTTTCCATTTATACTTGGAGTTCATAGTCCTTCCTAATTGTTTTTGAAGGTGATTTATTTGGCAAAAAATTTATATGAATTTTCTTCAAAATTTTTCAAACCTACCATTTAGGCTTTTTAGCGAAGCCTTCATTGTGTTGCTAAATTGTTGCAGCCTTATGGTTTTGATGTTGGACAATCTGAAAATGGAACTGTTCTTAAAGGTTTGGATCTTGGGGTTCAAGGAATGAGGGTTGGCGGCCAGGTAAAATTACTTGAAGCATTTAACTTGTTTGCTATTCCCTCTTTCTCGTGAAGTTTGACTATTATTATTATTATTTAAATAAATTAAGCGTATAGTTTGATTTGATTGGCTTTTTTTTTTGGGGGGGGGGGGCATTTACATATCTAACACCTAAGCATATTCATATTTACTTGGATACCACTCAAATTTTTAGCATCACATAAAAAATGCCACCATCACCATCTTGTTAAAAGTGAATTACATATTTTCATGCATAGATTTATGACACCAAGGTTTTATAAGTGTAATATCAAATTTTGGGAGCTAGATATGCATGTGCATGAGAACTGTATGGTATGTTTGTAAATTTTCCTTTTTTATGATATAGTGCAGATGTCAATGTCAGACCCCAAGTCCTGGATGTGAAAAGTAGATGATTGTGTTAGGGACAATCAACATAAAATTTTTTGTCAAAAAATTATAACATGAATCTTTTGAATTATTGTGTAGATGCTAGGACGTTCCATGGAAGCGACGTGCTATATGATTTGAATGCAGTGAAAAGTGTGCAATGACCAATATACCTACGTCCGGGTGTAGTGTCAAATACATAAGAGTTTCCATATTATGAACGGATGTGGACAAAGAAGTTAGTCCATGAAATTAATATCAAGATAAAATCTTGGAATATAGGTACTTTCACAGATTAATTTATAGTATTAGTATAAATTATAGTTCATAGGAATATAAATATCGTATGCATCAAGAAACTAATCAGGCTTAAGAAAAGGCTAAAGAGATTAATAACTTGGGTTTTAAATTTTGGTATTCATGTATGAGTCACATTGAAATGATATAGGCATAATTATAGATAAAATTTGAAAGATAATATTATAAAAATTAACATAATTAGAGATTGAATTATAACCCTAAAAATTATTATTGATAATAAGATTTTTAATGTTAGAAGTGTTTATGCTCCTTAAGTAAGTTCAGATATAGGCTCAAAGAAAAATTTTAGAATGACTTAGAAGAATTATATAAATGATATCTCTAGAAGAAAATAATTTTATTGGAGGAGATTTAAATGGACATGTTGGTACAGTGATAGAAGATTTTATAAATATTTATGGTGACTACGATTTTGGCATGATTAATGAAGAAGTTAGAACTATATTAGATTTTGCTTCAGCTTATGATTTTGTTATTGCTAATAATTATTTAAGAAAAGAGACGAGCCTATTATTAGTTGAAAAGAGATGAGCTTATTATTACTTATAAGAATGAATCTAATAATTGATTATTTTCTTATGAGAAAATGAGATTGTGGAGAATGTAACGATTGTAAAGTCATTTCAAGTGAAAGTTTAAGTACTCAATATTGATTATTAATTCTGGATTTTAAGCTAAAGAGTTGCAAATTAAAAAAATATAATGAAATATTATCTTAGAATTAGATATGATCACTTAAAAGATACAAATTATTATTATTTTTATGAGTAAACTTTAATATTTTAAAATTTAGGATATTCATGAAGAAAATAATTCTATGTAGGATATAATAATAAACACTATTAAACAAGTTGAAAAAGTTATACTTAAAGAATCATAAAAAAATTATAAATAAAAATAGTTGGTTGTGGGATAATAATGTGTAAGAAAGAAAATATAAGAAATTTTGTTATAAAAATTGATTTAATTATAAAAGCTTAGAGAACAAAGAAAAATATAAGGTAGCCCGTAAAGAGTTTAAGAGAACAATTTCTGACGCTAAGAATTCTATTTTTAGCGATCTTTATAATATATTATATACTAAAGATGGTCAAAATATATCTATAAACTAGCCAAACAAAGAGAAAAGAAAGTAAAGATTTACTTCATGTAAAATGCATTAAAGATTCCAAAAGTGTTCTTAGAATATGTCATGACCGGGCCAGAGACCTAGTATTAACCAAGACAGGAATGGATGTTCGGTCGGTGAAAATAAATTCTTTGTTATTTTATTTCTATCAAAAATAGTTAAATATTCAAATATTCATAAAAGATCAACAAAAGAAAGAAATTTAATTAAGAAGTAAAAGTTTTACCTTGCGGTTGTTGTTCTCTCCTCCTATACACATTAGCTATTCCAATATTCGTCTTAATTAAAAGCTTATACCTAAAAATTATTTTTAAAACAACATAATGTGTCATCTAAAGATAACCCAGGAACAATCACACCTTTAAACTACAACCAAGAAAAAAGAGAGAATATGTATGCTAATCTTTTATATTTCTATAAGAAGTCTTATAATATGGTGACGCTTCATATTTCTATAAAAAATCTTATAAAATGCTAATACATATATTAATGACTTATTCAATAAAAATAATTATATATGTATTAAATTTAACTCTACTTTCATTTAATGTTCTTAAGATACACATATGTTTGTTTAGAATTTAACACACCCCTGATCAATATTATTCAGTTGAAACAAGAGTTAGCGATCTAAACATCATAATCATCTGATGTGGAAAAGTTGTTATTCACCCTTGGTCGATATTTTTCTGTCAGCATAACGGTTAGCGATATAAACATCACAATTGACTGACGTGGTAAAATGTCTATTGTCCCTGAGCGATATTCTTTTGTCGGCACAACGATTAGTGATTTAAACATCACAATTATGTGTGTGGTAAGAAAATATTACACAATTAGGTGCGCTGGCGTCCTCAGTCTGTACTATTTGGGGGTAAACTACTCATCTTAAAATGAACATACTAGTATTCATATATACATTATTTTTTTCTTTCACATTTTGCATTCTTTTCTTATGAACTTAAACTTTATCTGTTGGTGAATTAATGAAATCTATCTAAATTTATAAGTCGTGAAATAAACTGAAATATACACATTTACTAAAATTCTAAAAAGCCAGACAATAATGTGACATATGTATATATATATATATATATGTATATATATATATATATATAATATATATTAAAGGTTGATCGCCGATCAACCCCATAGTCTGATCGTGGCGCGGACCCCCTTCCAGAAAGGTGTGCAATTCGATCTTACACAGGAATCGAACTCCCGACCCGATAGACTTACTCCAAATGCCGCAACCAATGAGTCAGGCTAAGGCGCGCGCGCGCACACACACACACAGATATATATATATGTAATAAGTTAACATTATATATCTCTACTAGAACATAAGGGTCATGTTATACTCTCTCATTTTTCTAAACTAGACTGTTATGCAACTATACTTAACATGCATACTTCATAACTAATGACATAAAGGATCATATATAATTTCATTTACTTGAGAGATAAAAATAAAAAAGAAAGCTGGAATATATTTAAAAATAAGAAACATTACTGTAACTTAAAAGCATAATTGCTCATCTCAATCTTTAAGTGATATCTGAAAAGTTTATTCCTCCACTTCTTTGTATCTTCAATCTTTTATCAATTTTAATTCTGAGTAGTCTTCTTCCACACTTTCTAGTTAAATTAAATAAATTTTAATAACATTAGTTTAATTAATTATATCATTAATTTTTAATAATAATAAAAATCTTAACATTTACCTTATAGACTTTCAGATTGATCTCCTCTCTTACTCGCACTTAAAGTTTTCTTGCTAGCCTCTCTCACCTCAATGAACCTAATGAACTTACCTTAACTCGCTAATTAGGGTTTTGATAAGCTTTGGCTCTCCACTTCACTCCCGTGATTCTTTCTCTTCTCTTCTATAGAAAGTTCGCATCACATTACTCCCTCAAATTCAGGACTTAAACTTTTTATTAACATGAATTAAATAAAGTCACACACGTAGATGTATATATATACAAATTTTTAATTAAATTAATTGAAATCTTAAACTTACGTAATAAAACCTTTCGGTCGACAATTGTTCTCACACGCACCCACAAGCTTCTCTTCCTTCGAGCGTGGCTCGACTCCAACACCAACATTCGCAGTCTTCTTCCTTTCCTCTTCTCTTCTTCAGAGCCAACGCACTTCTTCCTCCTCCGGCTTCTTCCTCTCCTTCGCTCGACCAGGACACAAAGTTTCTTCTCCCATCGCAGCAGCTCATAAGTCCTTCAATTTCTTCCTTCTCGCGACCCTATACAAAGCAGTGACCCTCGTGTTTATCTTCCACGCCGGCTTCGACACCCTCATACATGTCGACTGCTTCCTCACTACAATGCAGCTTCGACAATAAGGTCTGAGTTGTACTAAACCTTATTCTATTTTTTCCTTCTCTCTCTCTCTGTTTTCTCTGTCGTTCTCCCAGCTTCTGCTACTGTTCTGTTTCGATTGTTTCAAATGGGCCATGAGATTCTTAAAGACGAACCCATAGAGACGTTTATCCCTTAACTGCCTATTCAATTAATATTAATATTAATATTAATATTATTAAAATTTTGGTTATTACAAGATATTCAATACAAATGGGTGAGATACTTTAATAAAATTTTTAATGAAGTTTCTAAACATATGATCGACCTCAGTGATCTTAATATAGTTAATAATAATAAAACTTTTTATTTTCATCATTGCATTAGTAAAAAATAAGTTGATGAGACTTTAAAGAAAACTAACTGTGAAAAATCAATAGGATCCGATGATATCTTAGTTGAAGTGTGGAAATATTTAGGAAATTTAGGAGTTTTTTTAGCTTACCAAACTCTTTAATATTATTTTAAAAAAAGAGGCTTGAGTGGAGGAAGACTATTTGGGACCCCATTGTCGGTCAACTTTTTTAATTTTGAAATCTAATTTAAATATATGAGGTATATAGTTTAGGTTTTAAAAGCAGTATTTTAATTTTTTTTAAAAAAATGAGACCAAATGGATCTCATTTGTTTAATAGTTTATATAATTGTGTCTGATACCGCAAATACTACACCCTCCCGAAAGATAAGTGTATACATCGGCGATAGATCCAATCCTACAAATTAAGAGATTTGTGACATCCATTTGGCCTGCGAACCTTTTTTTATGTATGACCGACAAAGTT